AGAATCCAGTTTCCAGTTCGCCCTACTTTTGCGAGAACTATAAACAAATCACAAGGCCAAGCGCTTCAAAAAGCTGGAATTTGATTCCAGAAAGAAATATTTACGCATGGTTAGTTGTATGTTGCTTGCTCTAGTGTAAGAAATCCTAAAATATTTTCTTCGCTGTTAAAAAGGAAAAAGAAAAAAATAAATTTTCTTAAAAAATAATGTTTACCATGAAGCCCTATAAAATTAAATTAAATTAAATAAATTATTAAACCGAGAAGTAAGGTTATTATTGAATTCTTTTTCCAAACAAATCAGCTTAATCAATATTCATCGATTAGTTTGCGAAATTTAACGAAATGTTTAGTTTGTAAATCTCAACAAAAATGTTAGCGATAACTTTAACAATACTGTAGGAATTTCAACACAAATTCGCGTGTCACAAAATAATTCTAGTGTTATAAATTTCAGGGTCTATGCAGAGATGAATTATAGAGTTGAAGTTGCATTTAGAAGGAACTGGAAACCCAATCTTCAACAGGAAACAAGAGATAAACCTCTACTCCTGTTCAAAATACCGAGGAGGAGTGTGAACTGGACGATAGTAGATCCTATCTACTCCTAATAAATAAGATAAGTATGAGGTGCATTCCAGAAGTTTTGATACTTTTTAGGTGTGGCTAGTAGATATAACTGTCCTATAATAATGTAATTTTAGTATATCATTACTATATATCTAATAAACTAACCTGCCAAATTTTGTTATTCCAGACTGAAGGAGACTGCTGTAACAGCTCTTTGAACACACTTTAATAAACACTGATTCACGCAACTGACTAGTTTGTAGAAGGTAGTCGAGACGTGAGGACAGTTTGGAAGCTCGCTATGCAATAAAGTTTTGGATGGCATCAAAATTATACCTCACTTTGATAAAGTGCACACACTCTGAATTTCAGTCACGTGATAAAATTTTCTAGCAGTTTCCAGTTTTACATTCATAAATTAATCGACAAAGATTATTTACCGATATAAACAAATCATAAAACAGACACACATTTTAAAATGTATTCGGTAAGCATATACTTTCTTTTCACTCAAACTCTAATGAAAAGAAGGCGGGAAGATACTGTCAATTACCTACCACAATCTACAATACGTTAGTTTGTGCTGTGTTTTCGATAGGCTATTACGGTAACTTGAATGACTTTTCCCCGCTAACCATTTACTCGTTCCACTGTTCTTGAATGCGATCTTTAAACAGATTGTTCAGACACACACCCGGTTGTGTTTTTGTTCAACATCATCGAAAAAAGAAAGAGAGATATTGTTAATTATCTACAGTGTGTGACGTAATGCGTTTCATTGTTATCGTGCAATTATACCAAACATTATATAAGTTATGAGTACTTTTATTACACTACACTTTTATTATTTTATTATACTAATGTGAATTAAGTTGTTTCATTACTTGTGTCGATAGATACCAAGGTAGGTGTTAGCTTACCGTCAAAAAAATCTCCCATGCTAACAACTTACCATAAAGTACAGGATTTAAGGTTCACATTTTATACTTGGTGTATTAGACAAACCCATCTATTTTGGGCGATTTTTTAAGGTTAAAAGGTCGGCTTTACGCCAACATATACGGTATATTATAATAATAATAATAATAATAATAATAATAATAAAGAAGAAAACCTTAAAGATTCATTTCGCTTATAATTTATTTCCTGAATATCTCTATATATTCATCTCTCCGGGCAGAAAGCTTTTAATTTTCGATTAAAAGCTTTCGGTCTGAAGAGATGAATGTCTATTATTTGAAACGCATAGGACCATATATATATATATATATATATATATATATATATATATATATATATGTGTGTGTGTGTGTGTGTGTGTGTGTGCACGCATGTATTTGTGTGTATGTTGGATAATATAGCTATACTAATTTATCCAGGCTGTCAAAAATGATGTCTTGTATGAAGTCATTGTTATTCGAAGGGAACGTTGTCAAATGTAAAACTTTAAATATATTTTTCAATGCATATAATTCATCCATTTACGCGTCTATAAACCCATATTATCGGAACCCTTTTATGTTATTTTTCTACATTTTTATTTTTTTCATTACTTGTTCTCCCCATCCAATACTGTCAAAAAATGACACTGCAAATCTGAAGTCACCAGTGGAAAAAATAACTGTAGTTACCTCACTTGCACTAACCACACTAAAATTTATAAGCAAAAAAATATGCAAATATATATTTGTTCTATATCAAGATCTGCATATATGCACACTACAGTTCAAACGTTTGAAGACGCCCCCAGAATTAGCATGGGATGAACTTGACAGAAGAATGAATCATTTCCATAAAAGCAAAATGAAAAGAGATCTTAGATTCATTGAAAAAAGAATGGAATCAATTATCAAACTTATACTTAGAGAAACTTTTTCAACGAATGCAGTAATCAAGGCTAAATGTAGATATTTTGAAGAGACCAAAATTTAATCAAAAAACAATTTTTTTTTCATAATATAATTTCTAATAAAAAATCATTTACCATTAAAATAATTTTCACTTATTTAAAGTACACAACAATCTAATCACTGGGCCAGTAAAATAAATTAGCAGGGATAGCGTCAAACGTTTGAACTTTAAAATACATATAAGTGTATATCTGTATGTATATGTTAATGAATGTATGCAGTTGTATGCGTACGGATCTTAGCCTCTGAATAATAGTGTTACATTTTTGTTAAAGGATGTACAAACTATGAATATATTTAGTACATTGAAGAGTAATAAAGACAAAAATGTACATTTTGCATTTGTAAAACGACTTACTCATAAGAGTAATAAATAATCAAGGTCGAGTCATTAGTAAAACATCTCTCACACAGGACTGTATTTGTGTTAAAGTTTGAATATTAGTAGCGCATGACACTTTGATACTGTGTGTAAAGAAGAAGAAAAAGATGAATTTTGCAGATGTCCCCATTTCACAGATGAAGACACAAGAGGACTGTGTGTTTGTTAACTCGCAAGACATGCAGTGTTTATTAAAGTTTATTTTACCCAAGAATTTTGTAATTACACCAACTGCTAGATTACTGTCTTTTCCTTCATTTTTCGTCTTCTCTAGCCATAAAACATGGTTTTATCTTCTTAAACAAAGCGTTGGAACTGTTTGTAAACGATATCAAACCATTAGTCTATTTAGAATATTTCGATTTTTCGCGTTGCTAGGCCATCTGTGTAGACAGCAAAATGGTATCAAGAAAGAAGATGGCTAATGAAAAGTGGCAAATGAAAGGTAGAGGAACCTGCATATATTTCCACGACAGGAAATCCAAATGCGAAACCAAGAAAAACTGATCAACTGAAGTGATCTTCACGCGTCAAACGAACAATAAAATAAAAGGGAAAGAAAAAAAGAGAATGTAAAAAGTATTAAACTTTTCTCTTCCTATAACTACCATTTTTTGTTTCAACAATTATTTATGTTTTAACATGAAAGGTCACTGGTTGCTGCATAACATATAGTGAGAGTTATGATATTTTCGTACGTCATAATTGCATTTTTTTTTATTCCACTTATGCGAATGAAAATTATAATGACGACACAGAACGTATTCGCCTCGAGTTCATTTACCTTGGGTGAATTCTGTACCCATAGAAAATACTCAGTGAAAATTTTCGACGAATGTATCTAAAATATCTTTAAAAATAACATCCCCTGACTCTTTCTCAAACGTAGACTCTGAATTAACTCCAAACGTAAACTGTCCTGTTGGCGAAGAGCAGAATACATTGACTGCATTCCATATAGAGTAGTAAAACATCTCACCAAAGGCTCCATCTTCCAGATGGAATCTTGCAGGATCAAGTATTAAACCGACCAATGTTTTGCTTAAAGTATAGACCGGACAAAATGTTTATCTTTTGTCTAAAGTAGATACATTACTAATGGTTACCTACTGAGTCAAGTATAAACCTGGTTTACATTTTTAATAACGTATAAACCAGACCAATATTTACATTTTGACTCAAGTACGATAAAAGATTGATTTAAACATTAAATACCCAAAAAGTATTGTTAGTTTCATTCAACGATTTTTACGTATACAAAAGAAAATTTTGATTCGGATTTGCACTAAATATTCTATTAAATTTCAACTCCATTTCTTGGGATAATTAATGAAAAAGCGGAATAAATCTTTTCGTCCTGAGTACTTCATCGGACGAAACGCATTACAGGAAAATGGTTTTCCACGTTTGTCATTAATTTTCCTTTATACTATACTACTTTATACTTATACTTATACTACTTTATACTTATACTTATACTACTTTATACTTATACTTATACTACTTTATACTTATACTTATACTACTTTATACTATTATATGAACATTTATCTATCATTTATCTCCAGTTTTCCTCCAAAAAGTTTATTTCCGTTGATAGGTGAACTGTATAGATACTGGGAATCAAGTTAGCCCCAGACCTTAAACGAAACATGCGATCTATTGCTAAAGATGATTGAAAAATGGTCGGTACTTTGGACCACTATTAGCAGATGTTGACCTTTTCTGATATGCTTTACATTTACTAGAGTCAGATCAGAATAACAAAAAAAGAAATATTGTTGCCATGTCTGACCTAGTACTGCTTAATCCATATTTCCCAGTCTTGATAGTGTTTCACACGGTCTTATAGATTACTTATTTTCCATTCTACCGTTCCTTTCCAGAAAAGTTTCAAGACTATCCTTATTCTATCGATATTCCTATGACAAATGTTCAGATGAACTCCACTCTTTAGTTCCACCTGTTCAGACCTTTAGAGATATGACACGCCAGGCTACGTCTAGTGAATCGAATCAACCTCAATTCTTCTATGTTCTAAATTTAAGAAGATACTTCCACTTAACACTTCACAAAGAACTACCACTTTTTGGAACAGACTCTCGTGTGGATTGTTCTCAGAACACTACAATCTTAAGCCTATATCACGTTGAAACACCAGTTCCCGTAAGATCACCGTAGTTAAGCAACGGTGAGTATGGTCAGTACCTACTGGGCTGATCGCTTGGGAATATCAGCTGCTGCAA